GTTGCTTCACATGCAGATATGAAATATCCTCAAAAGTTCATGTGCTAAATTACTGCTTGCCAGCCTATGACACTATTCGGAGGTAGTGGAACCTTTAGGATTTGGGAACTATTTGGAAGAAGTAGGTAACTGGGACATGACTTTAAAGGGTTTATTTTGTCACTTCCTCCCTCTCTCTCTGCTTCCTAACCACCATGAGATAAGTGTCTATGCTTCATCAAGATCCCTGCCATAATGTTCTGCCTTGCTACAGGCCTAAAAGCAATGTAACCAGGCAACAATGAGCTGAAATCTTTTACACTGACCCCAAATTTTCTTTCCTTTAAATTAATTTCTGTTTAGGCATTTTTTCACAGTAATGGAAAGCTAACAAACTCATGTACATAGAGAACCCCAAAATTGCCACCACAAAAACCTATTAGAGATGATAAATGAATTCAGCAAAGTTGCAGAATACCGAATCAGCATATGAAAAAACAGTACCACTGCTGTACACAAATAGCAAATTATCTTTAAAAGAAATTAGTAAATCAGTCCTATATCTAATAACCATACACATATGAAAACAAAATACTTAGGGATAAATTTACCAAATATGTAAATATGTAATATAGACATATGAAATATTTCTATACTGAAAATGATAAAACATTAATGAAAGAAATTAAAGAGGCCAGGTAAGATGGCATACTCCTGTGATCTCAGCTACCCAGGAGGTTGAAGCAGGAGGAACACAAGCTTGAGATCAGGCAATTTAGCAAAACCTTATCTCAAATTTAAAAATATAAATGCCTGGGAATGTAGCTCAGTGGTAAAGTACCCCTGGGTTTAGTCCTCATACAAGGAAGATAGATAGATAGACAGATAGATAAATAGGACACAAAGGAATAGAAAGATATCCCATTATAGACTGAATAGATGATACAATATCATTAACATATATGCATTACCAAAACAATCTACAGATTCAATGTAATTCCTATCAAAATACTAAGGAATTTTTTCTCAGAACTAGAAAAAATCCTAAAATTCATATGGAACCACAAAGAATTCTCAATAGCCAAAACAATATTGAGCAAAAAGAACAAAGCAGAAGGTATTACACTCCCTGGCTTCAAAATATACTACAGAGCAACAGTAATAAAAAGAGCATAGCTTTGGCATTAAAATGATTAATTGAAATAAGCCAGGCACAGAAACATCAGTATTACATGATCTCACTCATATATGGAATCTAAAAGAATGTAGATTTCAAAGAAACTGAGAGTGGAATGGTGGGTTTTGGAGGACTGGGAGCGTAGAGTAGAGGGAGAGAGAGAGAAAGTTTAAAAGGAACCCAGTTACAGTCAGATGGAAGCAAGTCTGGTGTTCTATTGAGTATCAGGATGACTATAGATAATATAAAATGTATTGTATATTTATTTATTTATTTAGTACCAGGGATTGAACTCAGGGACACTTGACCACTGAGCCACATCCCCAGCCCTATTTTGTATTTTATCTAGAAACAGGGTCTCACTGAGTTGCTTAGTGCCTTGCTTTTTCTAAAGCTTTCTTTGAACTCAGGATCCTCCTGCCTCAGCCTCCCAAGCCACTGGGATTTCAGGCATGCACCACCACTCCTGGCAAAAATGTTTATTTTGTAAATGCCAAAATAAAGTTGGGTGAAGTGGTGCACACCTATAATCCCAGCTACTCATGAGGCTGAGGCAGCAGGATCTCAAGTTCAAGGTCATCCTGGGCAAGTTAATGAGACTCTGTCTTAAAATAAAATAAAGTGCTAGGGATGTAGCTCAGTGGTAGAGTACTTGCCTAGCATGTTCAAGGACTTGTTCAACTTATTCCCACCACAAAAGCTAAAATAAATTACTTTGAGTGTTCTTATGATAAATAAATGATAAACATTTGATGGGATAGGTATGTTTGCACTGATTTGAGCATTACACAAAATATATGTATATATATATATATATGTATATATATGTATATGTACGTATATTATATATATCACATAGTTCCCCCAAATATGTATAATTTTAATGTATCAGTCAGGTAAAATATTTTAAAGATAATGGTAAAGTATTTTGAAATAAAATATGAGTTCTATTGGTAATAAGAGAATGTTAGACCTTATTATATAAGTTATTAACTAGAGCTATGGTTTTAATATGGGTTTATTCTCTCTGAAACTCAAGTTGAAATTTTATTTACTTTGATGAAGAGGTGGGTGAGAACTTTTGGGGGTGATTAGGTCATTAAGAGAGATTAATGCAGTTCTCTTGTGATTGTATTAGTTGCCTTGAGAATAGGTAATTATAAAGGATAGTCATCCCTCATTTTTTCCCTCTTCCCCAATGCCCCCATACCTTTCTGCTTTTTTCCCTCCATGTTATGATACAGCATAAGAGCCTTATCCAATACTGAGCAGATGCTGGTAGCATGGTGTTGCACTTCCCTGCCTCCAGAAACATGAGCCAAACTAAACCTCTATTCTTTAAAATAACTAACCTAGTCTCCAGTAGTATATAGCAATGGAAAAAGAACTATGACAACTATCGTGAGACACTGGCTCTCATCCTTCAGATCCAGGCTTACATAAGGACAATGCAAATTTTCCAGTCCAATGTTCTGAACCTTGAGGGTTCCTAAGGCTGCTGGTCATATGGATGCTTCCATCATGTGGACACTATGATGTGGCAGACCTTGGTCTACTGTCAGGTCAGCACCATGAACTCTTAAAGGCTGAGATAATTTGGTCTCCGTGGTTACTTTTCTGTTATGATCATTTGGTAGATGCAGCTTTTCTAGTGACTAGAGTATCCTGCTGGCTATCTGTATTCTTTCATCATGTGGCCACTGCTGGCTACCAGAATGTGGAAGTTTCTACCCTCATGTCATATAGGTGACTTACTGGGTTATGTGTTTCTATGATCATATACACCGTATTACCTACCCCTCAGGACTCCCTCCTTCACAGTGTCAGGCTCAGCCTTCTATCTAGCAAGGATTACAAGCTATGGAACTCTGCAGATCCAAGGTCTGCAGCCAGGTGGCTCTCACTATCACATAGGAGGCAAAGACCTTGCCATCACGTGAGCATTGTAGCTACCCTATAGCTGTTGTTCAGGTAGTCATGTGTCACACTATGGTCACGTGGTGCTCAGCCCTCTCAATCACGTGAAGACAGAGCGTGCCTGATCCCTGAGGGAGCTAGGATATTGCCATCATGCGGTCCTCTTCAGATAAGCGCCAGGCAGTCAGGTAAGACCCCACAGCTGTGGGTTATGTGGATCTTATGGTCATGTAACTGCCCCTTTGATCAGGTACCATTCCCCCAACCCCTGTACCTCCATCGACCACCGTCACCCCTCCTCCGCTCCCACCCCCACCTCACCACCCACCTCACCACCCATCCCCCACAGCATGCTTGGCCTTCTGAGGAGACAGCACAGTGTGTGCAGATATTTAAAACTGCAATCAGTGGCAGAGCTCAGGCTTAAGTTTGATCGAACTCTGCCTTAAATCACAACCTTCCCACAAACTTTTATATTCTGCCACCATGGACAGTTTTCTGGTAGTAGAATTTTACTCAAGGAATAAGGCTTCGAAGGGTAGCCAACTGGCCACCACAGAGCCAAAATTTGTGAGGAGTGAGAATTGGGTGGAAGTAGGGAGATGACTTTCTGATCGAGGTCAAACTCCTGTACACGTGGCAAAGAAAGAACGCAGATGAGTGCTGCCCCCACCAGGGACTTAGTGGCACTGTTGATGGTGGAGAGTGAGGCAGAGGAGAACAATGCAAGGGACTCGGGGCGGGTAGCAGGGAAGGGTGGGCGGGGTTCCTGGACGTGTCAGTCATCTCAAGGGCGGGGCTCTCAAGCCAGATGGAACCTTGCTCTCCTCCTCCCACCCTCTGAAATCCCGTCTAGGCGCATCACACTGCCTGATTCACTGTTTGTGCCTCGCATCCGCATCGACTTCCTCTGTCCCATTGTTTCTAAATTTTTACCAAACATTTTCTATATGCTAATTTTTATTGATGATTCTAAATCCAATCTTAATTTCCTACTCATATTTGATTCTCTGAGGAAAATGGAGGGGGCTGAGAATGTGGATTGGTGGAATAGTGAGTGCTTGCTTGCATGTGCGAGGCTCTGAGTACCATCCAAGTACCACCACCACCACCACCACCACCACACACACACACAAGGGGAGGGAAGATTTTTTGAAAATAAGAATTGGGCATATTGCTAAAAATGTGGACATAGCCATCATGTGAAAATTCAGGATTTGTTTCTTGTATTTACTTGAATTTCAGTTGTTTTCTGAAGTGCATATGAAGTAGGGTGCCATAATCTTTATTGAGCTTGAAATCTCTAAATATCTTAAAGTAGTTCAATCAAACATTATTTCTGTGGGGTGCTCTCCCCTTCCCCCAGTTTTCTGTTATTTCCTCCACTCCTTGAAAACTACATTACAAAGTAATAGTGACTTAAGAAAACGTATTAAGTAAAATTATAGGTAATATATGTCAAAATCCATGAAGATAATACTAAATAAGTAGAGTTTGACAAATAAATGAGTGTTCTTACATTTATGGGGCACTTGATGGATGTGAATAGTAGGTATTTAATGTAGACATAGCACGAACATGGATATTAACTCAGTTACTACATTTGTATTTTGGGATTATAGAAAATTTGTGTGTTATATGCTTTACTTCTAAAGTTATTTACAGTCAATTTATGTTTGGAACTATTAAATCTTTTATGTTTTGTATCTTGATATATGTAAAATATTCTGAATCTTGTAATTCTCTACTACCACAGTGATAGTGCTTTAATCATTTTGACAAACAATTAATTTTGGGAGAAATATAAAGTATTATTTCTATATAAAATAAATAAATATCCATTGAAAGAATGTTTAAAATATTATAGCTTGTGATACTTTATTTTATATGAACCTTACATAATTCCCTTTTTTAATTCTTATCTCAGTACTTCCAAGGTTATTCTGCAAAACACTAAGTCTGAGAGAGAGCCACAACAAAAATGTGATCAACCGTTAGAGAAATGTGGGACAAACAGAAATGAAGGTAAAAGGATTTCAATATTGTAAGAAAGTTTTAGATAATTTGCTAATATGAAACATGAGTCTTGAAAGGAGAGGTAGTTTGTCCAATTTATGCCTGAATGGAACAATTTTCCATAGTGTATAGGTATCTCAACTTCAGAAAATATTTTGGGAAAACCTGTTCAAACTAAATACTTTATACTACATTATTATTTTGTTCCCAGGGCTGGGGTTATAGCTCAGTATTTGAGTGCTTGTTTCGCATGCATGAGGTACTGGGTTCAACCCTCAGCACCACATAAAAAATAAATAAATGAAATAAAGATATTGTGTCCATCTATAACTAAAAATATTTTTAAAAATAATGATCCATCAGTGATATAAATTGTTTTAAAAATATTTTGTACCCATATTTACAAAGAACAATGGGTTGTGTGTTTACTAATAATTATAATATACTATATTATAATTATTACATTATGAAGTTACTTATTGGTCTTTAGCCCATTTTCTTATTTGACTAGTCAGTCTCTGTCCTGCTGTAATATTTTCACTTTTCTGTTCTTTATGGATATCCCCAAATTATAACATATTACTTTTTAAAATTTTTAGTTGGATATGGACACAATACCTTTTTTAATATTTAATTTTTAGTTGTAGTTGGACGCAGTACCTTTATTTTATTTATTTATTTTCATATGGTGCTGAGGATTGAACCCAAGGCTTCACATGTGCTAGGTGAGCACTATACCGCTACACTACAACCCCAGACTCTTTTTTATTTATCTATTTTTATGTGGTGTTGAGGATTGAACACAGTGCCTCACACATGTGAGAAAAGCACTCTACCACTGAGCTACAACCCTAGCCCCATATATTACTTTTAAATTTTTTTCATTGTTGATGGACCTTTATTTTATTTATTTATATATGGTACTGAGAATTGAACCCAGTGTTTCACACACCACTGAGCTACAACCCCAGCCCTGTAAACATATTCCTGACATCATGATGGCAAGAAATTTATTGAAAAGTTTAAGTTGTTTGGAAGTATTATGTGTAGTAATAAATAAAATGCATCACTTTTCTAAGAAGGATACAATTTTATTTGTCAGGATAGGCAGATATAATACCTTTCATTTTATACAATTTTCCCATATTTTCCAGAATTGTTAGGTTATTATCAAGTATACTGTCATATTTTGAGATCTTATTATATGTTAATCAATTACATCATCATGAAACTTATCCTCAGAAAAAAAATCCTGTGAGAGTGTTATTTTAATTTATAGATGAGATATATGAGTCAGTACGGGCTGGTTAATGCTGTGGTTCCAGGCAACCTTCAAAATTTGGTGGCTTATTTTTTACTGCTACTACATGTCTATGGCACGTACACATCCTTCAGAAGATGGTGGATGTTGAGGCCTGAATGATTCATACTGGAATGGCTCAAAGACACAAAGTGATGAAGCAACCACCATTTAGAAAATGGTCTGTCACTGTGCCAGATGTAAAGTGAGTCCCAGTCTCAAACTAACAAGATGTTCTGTCCCATAAATAGCACACATCACTCAACAATGGTTTAGCCAGAGCTAGTCACTTACATTGCACCACCCAAATGAAGGCAGTTAGTAAGTTCAGTTCTATCAGGTAAGTGCCTGGAACAAGGGAGAACACTTGGCAGACAGAATCACTTGACTTCAACATAGAAGAATGGAATCCCAGAGAGATTCAGAACTTTCCTAAAACCACATAGACCATAAGTGACAGAGCCTGGATTTGAATCCAGACAAGTATGATTTCAAAATGAGTGTCATTTCTAGGCTGTATGCTATTCTCTTAAACAAACTTCATATATTTTCATAATAATAATTCCTTTACTTCAGTGATGTAGTTCCCTCTTCCTTAATCATCTGATATTCCAACAGTTGAATTGAACATACATGATGACATTTATTAAAAACACTAACATTGAAAAGCCACAGGTCTTTTATGAACCATTGAAAGTATTGGATATTTGAATATCCATTTCATTCAAGGATAAAAATTATAATAAATAAAACCTGGTGGTATATGAAAAGATTGTTACTTTATTATTGACTTAAGAGAAAATAACCTCAAATCTTTCCACTTTTTCATGGAAAAGTAACAAAAATAAGCACAAATATTAAATGAAACTGATAACAGAGATGATATAATTGAATAAAAAATGCTAGAAGTTAGTGCTTTAGAAATACAGGATAATGATAAATCCTCTGCAAGATGGGTAGAAAAATTAGAAGGTACAGAAAATCCATTTTGGAGTGAAGAAGGAGTCATGTTTACAGTCACAGAAGAGGTGAAAAGATAATATGAAAAAGATATGCTGATAATTAGAAATTTCAGATTAAATAGACAAATGCCATAAAAATAATTTTCCAAACTAAATGAATAGAAAAATCTTAATATTTTTAAAAGTGTTGTTGACAAGGAATACATGCAAAATCAAAATTACTAGTCAACATCCATTAGTTACATAAATGCAAAAGCCCACCAAATAAATCAATAGCAAACTAACTCCAACAATAGCTAAAATAGATAATGCAACATCACAAAGGGAACACGTTTACAATGCTGGTGGGATTGTAAGAACAAGAGGTTGGTTTAGAATTGTAAGATATTTAAACATATTACCTGAACAAAGGAAGAAGGAGAGTGAGATTATGACAAAATATCCAGCAAAGACATATTTAGTAAATTAATCAGCCAATATTAAACCACAAAATAACAGTAAATCTCAGCAAATTGAAAACAGAACTTTGTTTCTGTGAACTGACAACCAATGTTAAGATAATAAACTACATCAAATGCCACCCTTAGTAGTAAAACATTAGAAGTATTCCCTTTACAATTAGAAAAGAGGCAAAGACAACTCCTATGGAGACCTCTGATCAATAAGCTACACATTCTACCAGGCACTGCAGTGATATATAATACATACTTGCAAACATACATACATAGATTAACACAAATATGATAGTGAAAATAAGCAAATCTATCCATTACTATCTTCTTATAAAATTCAAAATAAGGTAAGAAAATTAAAATTAAAAACAGATTAACAAGTATGTTGGGTAGATGACTAATACACACAAAACCATTTTAACAAATAGAAAATACCATTTTCATTGTGAATACTATTTATAATAGCAAACATTATATTGGTTTTTGTTTTTTCCCTTATTTTTATTGGTGTATTATAATTATAGTACATAATGGTGGGCGTCATTGTTACATATTCATACATGCACATGATATAACAATATAAATTGGCCAGTATCATTCCCCAGTATTTCCCCCTTCCCTCCCCTCCTGCTTTACCATAGTTTCCTTCCTCTATTGATTTTCCTTCCATTTTCATGAGATTCCCCCCCGCTTTTTTCCTCTTTAGTCTCCACATAAGAGAAAAATATGACCCTTGACTTTCTAAGTTTGACTTATTTCACTTAATGTAATGTTCTCAAGTTCCATCCATTTGCTACAAATTCCATAATTTCATTATTCCTTGTGATTGAATAAAACTCCATTGTGTGTGTGTGTGTGTGTATATATATATATATATATATATCACATTTCCTTTATCCATTCATACATTGCCAGATTCTTAGGTTATTTTCATAGTTTGGCTGTTGTGGATTGTGCTCCTATAAACATGGTTATGCATGTGTTGCTATAGTATTCTACTTTAATTCTTTAAAATAAATATTGAGTAGTGGTATAGCTGGGTCATACAGTGATTCCATTCCTAGTCTTTTGAGGAACCTCCATATTGATTTCCATAGTGGTTGTACTAATTTGCAATCCCACCAGCACTGTAAACATGTTCCTTTTTATCCATATCCTCTCCAACATTTATTATTGTTTGTATTTTGATGGTTGCCATCCTAACTATTGTAAGATAAAATTTCAGTGTAGTTTGGATTTTAATTTTCCTGATTGCTAAAGATGTTTGACATTATTAAATATATTTGTTGTCCATTTATATTTTTTCTTTTAGGAAATGTCCTTTTAGTTCATTTCCTCATTTATTGATTTATTTGGAGGTGTTAAGTTTTGAATTATTTATATGTTCTGGATATTCATCCTTTGTCTGAAGAGTAACTAGCAAGGACTTTCTCCTGTTCTGTAGGTTCTCTTCACATTCTTAATTGCTACCTTTGCCATGCGAGTTATTAATTTGATGCTATCTCATTTATTAATTCTTAATATTATTTCATTAGTTGCAGGAGTCCTCTTTATAAATCATTGTCTGTTCCAATATGCTAGAGTGTTGACCCTACATTTTCCCCTAGGAGTTGCATATTTTCTGGTCTGATGAATAGGTTTTGATCCATTTTGTGCTGGGTGAGGGAAAAGATCTACTCTCACTCTTGTATATATGGAAAACTAGATTTCCAAGCATCATTTATAAAAAGGCTGTCTTTTCTCTAATATATGTTTTTGGCACCTTTGTCAAGGATCAGATGATTGGATCTATGTGGGTTTGTCTCCATCTTCTGTTCTGTTCCATCAGTTTGTGTGTCTGTTTTTACATCAGTACTATGCAGTCTTTGTTCATGTGGCTTTGTAGTGTAATTTGATGTTAGGTAATGTGTTGACTCCAGTATTGCTTTTTTGGAATAGAATTGCTTTTTTTATTCTTGGACTTTTCTTCCAAATGAATTTTAGGACTATTTTTCCTACTTCTGTGAAGAATTTCATTGGTATTTTGATGGATTGAATCTTTATATTGCTTTTGGCAATAGGGCCATTTTTTAATTCTGCCTATACATAAATATCCATGTTGTGTCTTCAATTTCTTTCTTCAGTGGTCTATAGTTTTCATTCCAGAGGTATTTCAGCACTTTAGATTTATTTCTAAATGTTTTTTTTTAAGCTAACATGATTGGAATTGTTTCCCTGACTTCTTTCTCAGCTGATTCATTATTGGTATACAGGATAACTATTCAGCTTGTATGTTGATTTTGTAACCTGTTACTT